TCTTTGGAAAAGGTTCATTTTTCTTGGAATTGTCGTATTATAAGTTGAACTAAATTCAGAAATTTTAAATCTTTAAAAAAAATGCTTGGAACTATAAAAAACAAAAAAAAACCCCAAAGCTACAACTCATGTTGCATAGGTCTTGCTTTATCTTGGTCTTGACCATCCAGCAAAAAAGTATAAAAACGAAGTATAAGAAGTAAAGCCATGTTGTTATGTTGAGCTGTAGAGGACTCAATTCAACAATTTCCGACACTGCCAGTGAAGCGGAAGATCCAATACTATTATGGACTACTGGACTCTTTTAGAATATTTTGCTCAGTTTACACACCTATAATATTCAAATAATGGAACTAAACAAAAAAGGTGATACAGATGAATGTCCATTTTGTACCTGAGTATTCAAAATGGTTAGGATAGATATATAGTTACATTCTCTTAATGAATAGAGGGATTTGTTCTAATAGTGTTTGTAAATAGGCTACCATGTCTGCATCTTATACAGCAAATAACCACTAGGAAGAATGCATGCAATGTGTTAATTATTGAAACTGTCCTACCAATTTGGTTTGAAACTGTCTCATTTTTCAATAAAATTATGGAAAAATTAAAAAATGCCAGTTATTACAAGAATTTTACTGCTATGCTTAATTTACAAAATGGTAATAAATTTTACTGTTAATTATAAAGATCTCTTACATTCTCTTGTCTAAAGAGTCAGAAGTTTTACTGATTTCTGTCTTTATATTTTAATGTCTATATTTGCCAGCTCATAGTAAACACTTAGTGTTTGCTAAGGAAGTTAAAATCTTTAACTCATAGTTCACAGGATAAACTATAGTACTTAAATATCATATCTTATTTGATACAAATATTAAGACCAAATTAATTGTCAAGTATTTTATTTTTGGTACCAGGGATCAAACTCAGGACCTTGCACTTGGGAAGCAGGTGCTTATGCCACTGAGCTATATCCCCATCCCCTATTTTATTATTTTGAAAAATGATTTATCCATGTTTTGCAAAAACATGAGAATACATAAGCCCTAAGGAGTCCATTATTTAATTCCTATTTCAAAATAGTAAAGATAAATCAGTAATATATTTAGTCAAAGCATATTACAATTAAAAACTGCACAACGATATTAAACTAAACTGTACTTGAATTATGAA